CCCCAAAACCCCAAAACCCCAAAACCCCATGCATACCAATCATTTGATAGATATAAGAAATGAATTATGGTAAATTGAAATAATTTCAGTTTATAACCTTCTTCTTAGTTGATCTTCTGCCTTTTGGATTGTTATTGCTGAATTTAAATGCATCTTCTAAATATTAGTTTAATAATTCTGCTTATAAAAGTAATCTTACGAGATCCATCTTTGCTATATGCGATTAGAAGTAGTCTCATGACCATATCTGATGCCTCTTTTTCCTCAGGTGTATCTCTCATGTCAAGAGGAGTAAATTAGAAAGCATCTGCATACTTCTAGTTTGTAAGAATTTCATAGTTATAGCACTAAATTTTGTTAAACATTAATATTTTTACATCTCTTATCTGCTTTTAGCCTGATTTAGAAGATCTGAGTTTTTCCTTTGCATAATCATCAATAGTAGTAATCTTTAAAGTCCTTTAGAGATGCTTTTCTTCATAGAACCAAATTTTTCTTTGATAGGGAGTTAAGCATTCGAAATAAGAACCAAGCTACTCGTCTACTTCATCTTCCTCCTAACTTTCACAGATATTACCTTTAACCAAGAGTCCAAAGATCAGGTCATTGAAGAACAGACAAGCAAAGAATATGATGGCAAATATAAAGAGTGGTAGTGCTTAATCACCTGAGAGCTGAATATCATGATTTGTTACGACTGGATCAGTTGCATAATCTTTAATACCAATCTCATGCGAGAAAATCTGCATGTTTCCTAGTTGCCAGAATCCAAAAATCATCATAAAGAATGGAGCCCACTTCAATATTCCTATGGCTGCCTCGTTCATTTTCTAATCATACATAGGGGGTTTCTTATAGTAGTAGGTGATTGTTAATTTTTCTGTAATATAAAGTACCAAGAAGGCCAAAAGAGCAATTGGGAAAAGAAGAGGTAAGGCAAGTCCATACATAAAAGTGACGAAGGTAACATTCATTACTGATGAATATTTGAAGTGAAGCAAATGATCTGGGCCGGCATATAAGTTCACATATTGCTGGATTGTATTCTTTTTGGTTTTCTTTGGACCTCCTTTTTTGCAGCCGCTATCCAATAACCTGAAAGCCACTTTCATTGGATATCCATAAGCAAATTCGATGGCTGGGAATATAGCCGCAATAAACATTGTCTGAACTAGGGCTGGACCGATATCTACATACCACTCAAGGGTGAAATCTGGGAACTATCCATCCAATCCAAGGAATCTAAGGAAAGTTTATTGGGTGTTACCATTTACTAATAGCAGTAGTATAGCTGTATTAAGGAATTGGGAGAAAAATACACTTTTCATGACTGCTTAGGTTTAGCCACTCTCAGTTGTGTATCCAATCAAAGAGATCAGCTTAATATTGATAGTTCTGAGAATAATGTTAATTATGACAGTAAGAAGTGAAACCAAAGTACTGAGGAATGTTCCTAAAAGCATATCTTTTCTATATTAATCACAAAGGTCTGAATCCTTGCCTTTGTTAGCACAGTAACATTGATAGACTCCTGTCCCTCTTTTGTCAAGAGTTGGGTCCTTATCTGTTGCAGCAACTTAAGCCAAAACATTGATATCTTTAAATAGGGTTCTTATCTGATCACAATCTTTTGAGGGTGGATATTTCTATTGGTTGTCAATAGTGGCTTTCTTCAGCAAGAAGAAAATAAATACAGTCAAAGCAAGGAAAATTCCTACTAAAACTGCGACTATGAGTTTTCTCATGAACCTTTAGACATCATTTAAATATCTATTTTCCCAAATAATATTTGTTGGCTCAGTTGCCTCTGTGAATGCTAAGGGTTGCCCTAGGAAATCTAGCTTTGATTATAACTAACAGAATATATTTCTCTTTTCTTTGAGATTGCAAGCTCTTTCATAGCCCTCTTAAGTTTCAAATGTGATGAATGCAGCAACAGGCCTTACTATTCTTTATATTTGAGTCTCCTTGATTCTATCAATTTGCTAATCGACTGTATCTAGTTTGTTATACTGTCCATTGCCTATCATAAATCCTCTAGTCTTCAATTTGGAAATGAGCTCACAGTTATCAAAAGCGAAGCTGATATTGGCAATTCTAATCTCTTAGTTCTCTTGGGATAAAACACCCTCCTAATTAGTAATGATTTGCTCAAACTGTTTCTTCAAGTAGCCTTCAAAAGCTACAGCCTTGCTATCTCCTTCGTTTGAATCTGGTAGTGAACAGAATTAATGCCAAACCTATTGAGGTATAGTATACTCTACTGTAAAATCTGCAGCAGTTACTGTGAACACATCCCAGAGTTTATAGTCAATGTAAGAAGTCTTAGACAGATAATAGGTCATGCAGAAGAAAATAAAGCAAATGAAAAGTCCTAGACAAGCAACTGCTAGTGCAGAATGCTTTTTTATAAGAATCTCACTATCTGGTTCCTCGCAAGTGTATTAGATATAGAATCTAGCGCTTGTTTTATTCGTACAAGACATTCCATCGTCCTTTGACTCATATAATATCAATGTATCAAGGTTGAATGTCCTATCACACTTGTTCTTGTTTAGGCAATGACCTTCGAAAATAGTTCTGAAGTCAGTTGAAAAGTGTTTATCAGTGCAGTGCTATATTTTTTCAATAGGATTCGTTCCACAGTAGTTTATCTCCTTGGAAGAATTTAATGTAGAAGGAATCAGTCCATAACTTGTTAGCTTAACTATGTTGCCAACTTTGCATCTGTAATTAGGTAAATATATTGAGTATATACGTGAATTATAGAGGCTAGTCAATCTGAATGTAATATGAGGCACAGAAAGACTCTTAGAAGCCCATATTGCCAATACTAAATCTGGATCTCTCATAATTTCTCCAGCCTTGGAGTCCATCTTTATTGGCATATATTCCAATAATTGGCAATACGAGCAGTGTTAGTGCAATGAACACCACAATAAATGTTTTCAGTAGATTGAAGTAAGCACACATTCCAAAACCAAGTTAAAGATATGGATCCTCTTTAACATCTTGGTTTGCATTATTTTGATTTAAATTGACGTCTTCACCATCATCAAATCTCTCTCCATCTTCTAGCCCTAATTCTTTCTGGATGGTATCCTATATTGATAAAATATATAGTTATTACCAATTTTTTCAAAGCATTTTTCTCATCCTCTAAAAGACTATATTTTCTTGATTCATCAGTTTTCTTTCCTCTTCTGCAGCATTTGAAACAGCACGCGACGCTTGGGAAAACTTGATCAAGAGACATGTTATAAAGTGGATGTAGCTTTCTGATTCTTTGTTCAGCTTCCTCAATCTTTACACAAATGAGCTCAATTATATATTACTTCATCATCGTCTAAAGGTGTCGTATCTAATACATGGCTAGCTTAGGTTTGTAACTCATCAAACTCTGAAGCATTAGTTTCCTACATTTTTGTTATTATTCTGATTTGATAATTACTAAATCTATCTTCCCTTAATAGCTTGCAGGGGTTTTGGGGTTTTGGGGTTTTGGGG